TTTTTTTTTTTTTTGGCTTATGTTCTTCAGTGAACGATGAAATTCAATGTTTTTAGGGCCCCTGTCCGAACTGTGGCACGGAAAACACTTCATTCTTTGGTACCATATTATCGATATCTAGTGGCGGTTCAATAAATAACGTAAAATGCTCAAAGTAAGTCCAATATGAAGTGGCATTCTAAAAATATCTTGCGCTCAGAAATAGAACTTTCTAACTCCTGTTACAATATGACTGACCATCAGTTGTGGGACTGCGATGGTGTACGATTCTAAGACACGACTAATTACATTGCCTGAAGGAAGTGAGGCATGATTGCCAGGTATGATAATACTGCTAATTCTTTTTTTTTTTTTTTCTTTTTACTAAAAAGTAATCAATACCTTTGGTAATGTGGCACACAGTATAATATATGGATATCTACGAAGCTCTCTCCCTTACTCTCGTCAATTTCGAGGTAAACCTTAATGAGTAAAGCTGTTTTTCATGTCTAGATTCGCAATTGTGGCATGGCACGGACGTGATAAAATCAGAGGATGTGTAGATACTGTGAATGTGAGTACGTAAAGAAAGTGAGTCCATAGAAACTGTGTAAGCACTGCAAGAATGGTTCGAGTGTGAAATAGAAGTACCACGAGTCGGAAATCATATGTACATTGGTAAAGTGAGATTGGTAAGCTCAAATGGTTTGTATGATAGCTATTTTAGTTCGTATGATGACAAACACTTTTGAATGTCGATACTTTATAGTATTCTAATGCCATCTTGCACTGATCGTGTTCGTATTTATACTTTGTTTATGGTGTCACTGATTCAACTGTCAAGAGTCACAGTCACCAAGGTGAATTGCAGATTGATTAATTTTTTTTAAACTATTACTTAAAAATATGATTGGATCAATTGATTAGAACTGGCTGGGTCAACCTAGGTCAGTCTAGGTTTCGACCGGACCGACTATAAAATGGTCTGAATGTTCTCCCCGACCCGACCAGCCTATGAAAAATTGATCGAATTTGATATTATTTAATCACAGTTCAATCTCTTATGAATGCATATACTTTTGATGTGAATGTATACATGCACAAAAACAATATAGTGATTCAACAAATATGCGTCATTTTCACAGTAAGATACCATTTTATAAAAGCAAAATAAAGATAAATTAGACATTTCAGTACAATATAATATAAATTTGGTGAAAAGTATGATGAATATACCCATATCCCATCACAATTCACAACAGTGTTATGTGATAAATAATTAGAACAATTTATACCTACTACATTTCATTAAAACATTATCCCCAAACAAGGTTCAAAAACACCATTAGTTGTGCCCACGTTTCTTCGTTTTGCATATTAACTTTTGACTTGTGAATGTTCAACATGTTATATAATCCATATTGTGTATTTAGGATATAAGAGGTACTTAGTTAGCAAAGTTAAGGTTCTAAAAGGAAAAAAAAAAAAAAAATATGTCTTGTTTCATTTACATAAGGTCCCTTGGCTTCTTCTTGGCCGTGGCGGCAATGGCCGTCCGCCAGGCAATGGCCGTGGTCTATTCTTCCCCTGTATTCTGTGCCACTCCGTGGCAACCTACTCATGCTACATTTTATGGCGATGAAACTGCTTCTGAAACTATGGGTGGCTGCAAACGAATCGAGTAGGTTATTGTTTATGAATGAATTGGTCTTCATCGGCCAAGCTTTAGTCAATGCCTGACTTGAGCTCTAGCTTGCAGTTTGTAAGCTTGAATGTTGGACGAGTCGCTCGGATATACGTAGAATTACCTAAACACTCGTAACTTGATATGTTTCTAATTAAAATATTAAACTAAACTCTGTCAAAATTCGAACCGATTTCTAGCCTTTTCGTTTTTTTGTCGAGTCGAGCAGAGCCTATAAATTCCTGACTCGTCGTGCTCGAGTAGAAAAAAAAAAAGGTCAAGCATAACTCAATATGGACAATGCTCGACTCGTTTGGAGCCATAAAATTCTAAAACACGCATGTGTAGGGGGAGCGTGTGGCTACGGGAACCTGTTCAGCAACGGGTACGGGACTGACACGGCGGCTCTTAGCTCGGTTCTTTTCAACAATGGCTTCGGCTGCGGACAATGCTTCCAAATAAAGTGTGTCAACTCCGAGTGGTGCTTCCAAGGATTGCCCATAACAACCGTGACAGCCACAAACCTCTGCCCC